CAAATGGGCATGTGAGGAGGACACTGCATTAAAATGACCAGCTACAGGAAGGTTGGGGTGATGCTTGCGCATGGACTGGAAATGTTTTGCAAAGCTGTCATCCAGTCTGCATTGGTTTCTCCAATATAGAGTAGACCACATTGGGTACAACGAATACAATACATAAGATTGGAGGAGATACAGGTGAAATGCTGCCTCACCTGGAAAGACTATTTAGACCCTTGGATGGTGAGCAGGTGGAAGGTAAAGGAGGAGGTGTCACACCTTCTGCAGTTACATGAGAAGGTGCTGTGGGAAGTGGGGAATGGTATTGGTGGTCGACAAATGGACTAGGGTGTCCTGGAGTGTACTAGCATGGATGGAAGATTGTCTAACTAATAATAGACAGAGTTGGAATAAAACACGGTATTTTCACAATGGCAATCTGTACTAGTCGAATGCCTCAGGAATCAATTATTTACAATATAAATGACTTGGAGGAGGGAAGTGAATATATACATCACCAAATTTGCGGATGACACCAAAATAGGTGGGAAGGCAGGTGCTGAGGATGACACAAAGAGTCTACAGAGAGACACAGACAATTTAAGTGACTGGGCAGAAACTTGGCAAATGGAATATGAAGTGGGAAAATGAGAGGCTCTGCACTTTGGCAGAAACAAACAGAAGAGCTACTATTCAAATGGAGATAGCACAGAGGTATTTGGGGTCCTACTGCATGAATTACAAAAGGCCAGCATCTAAGTTCAGCAGGTAACACGGAAGGCAGATAGACTATCGGCCCTTTTTCAAAGGAAATGGAGTATGAAGATAGGAAGGTTTTGCTAAAACTATACAAAGCACTAGTCAGACAATAGCTGGAACAGAATCACAGTCATACATCATGGTAACATACCTTTCAGTCCAAATCGTCCGCTCCGACTAGACATCCCAATCTGACCTAGTCCCATCTGTCTGCATTTGGCCCATATACCTCTAAACCTATCCTATTCACATACCAATCCAGGTGCCTTTTAAATGTTGTAACTGTAGCCATCTCCACCACTTTCTCTGGCAACTCATTCCATACACGCATCAGTCTCTGCATGAAAACGTCACTCCTCAGGTCCCTTTTAAATCTTCTCCCTCTTACCTTAAACCTATGCCCTCTAGTTTTGGACTCCCCCACCCCAGGAAAAAGACCTTGGCTGTTCATCCTATTCTTGCCCCTCAAGATTTTGTAAACCTCTCTAAAGAACAGTTTTGGTCCCCTTATTTAAGGGAATATGTACAGGTAAAGCAGGCAGTCCAGAGAAAGTTCACTAGATTGATCCCAGGTATGGAGAGATTTTCTTATGAGGAGAGGTTGAGCAGGTTGGGTTTGTACTCATTGGAGTTTAGGATGATGAAAGGAGACCTTCCTGAAACAAAATAGGTTACTTAGAAGACTTGACAGGGTAGATACAGAGAGGTATTTACCCTGATGGGAGAGTCTAGAATCAGGTAAGGGTCTGCAGTCAAGGTCCTCAATTTGTCCAATCATACGCTTTCTCTATGTTAGACCTACAATGAAAAGATCCATCAGCCAAGTTTCTTTAATGCACATAAAATTAGTGATTTATTACAAATCAACTTATTCAATAATGACATAAAACTGCATAACACACATTGTTATATGAAAACATAAATTTTTACCCCTGTAAATAACTCAAAATTTACACACAAATACACAGGGTAAAACGGAAAAAGATAATGGTCAATAAGTCTTGCTACGTGAAAGCTTAAGAAAGTATAAAGTGTGGAATGTTCAGATGGCTGTCTGGTCTGATGATCTGGCACACAAAGAGGGACATTACCAAATATAAACAAATACAAATAAAATGGGATAGTTAGAACTGCAGATGCTAGAGTCAGAGATAACACAGTGTGGAGCTGAAGGAACACAGTACGCCAGGCAGCATCAGAGCAGCAGCAAAGTTGACATTTCGGGTCAGGACCCTTCTTCAAAAATATAAATAAAATGGGATCTTTGTCAATGCAGCTTGATCAGAAAGCACAGTATCAAGGATTCTTCCACATCTACTTCAGGAGGACAACAGGTATTCAGACTGCAACAGGTCTCCAGGTACCACGCTGGACCCACAAAAGAAATTTTTATAAACAGAAGTGCTGTACTATGAAAGGTTTTCCTTCGCTCCCACAGTTTCATCACCAACTGGAAAATTTAAACAATCTCTAAAGCAAAAGTTGTGACCTGACAGTCATTAAGCCTGGTAGGGGTCTACAGTAAAGAAGCAGCTATCAAAAAGTTGTGACTTTCAAGAAATATCTTGTTATAAAAAGTTCCACTGTTTTTGCATTAGCCTGTTTAAAAAGAAAATCAGTATCCACAATCTTTCACTCTTTCCAAAAAGCCTGTTAAAACATGCAACCACATAACAAATGGGCATCACTGGTTTATACAGCATTTACTGCCTTTTCCAAGTTGCCTTTGAGAAGATGATGATGATCTGCCTACTTGAACTGCTGTAGTCTATTTGATGTAGGTAGACCCACATGCCATTAGGGAGAGAATTCCAGGATTTTGACTCAATGACACTGAAGAAATGACAACAATATATTTCCAAGTCAACATAATGAGAAGCTTGGAGAGATATTAGCAGGTGGTGGCGTTCCCACGTGTCTGCTGCTCTTGTTGTTCTAGATGGTAGTGACTATAGGTTTCGAAAGTGCTACTGGTTCTCTTATAACCACAGAACAGACTGAATGCATCTCCTGCAGAACTTCTCCAGCAGTGACACTACCCACACCACTCTTCATTATGGGCTTTGATGTCCTCAACAAGATACCATTCGGCATCCTTGTGAACCTCCAAAGTACTGTATGAAATGGAAGCGTACTGGCTCATCAGATGTGGGAGGATAAAAGATGGTAGTCAGCAAGAAATTTCCTTAACTCGATGCCATAAGACTTCATGTTGTACAGTGTTCAACACTGAGAATCCAAAGGCTATTCCCTCGCAATTAAATACAGTTGTGCCTCAAATTCTAATTGCTCAGGTCACACCTCGGGATGGTTGGAGGGAACTGGGACATTGGTTGTAGTGCATGATTGCTAAGTATTACTATGCATCGTTGCTTCACTAGTCTATGGGACAACTCTACCAAATTTTATTACGCTCCCATATGTTAGCAAATAGGATAATGCCAAGATCAGCTTGGACAGTATCCCGTGCATAGGTCAGTATCAGGTAGTCCATCCAGTTTTATTCATGAGCTGTGTCTACTGATAGCATACATTCACACGTGCGTTTAAATTGGTTTGGTTTTAAACTTGATATGCTGTGAAGAAGGATGAGAGGGGGTGGGTGTGAAGTGGAGAGAAAGAGAATGCAGCTGTGAAAGGGGAGGAAGAAGGGTACAGTAGTGAAGGGGGGAAAGAGATTGTGGTAGCAAAGGAGCCTCACTTTCCCCTGCCTCTCACATCCTCAATACTATGTCCCCAGTCATCATTCCCCTTCACTTCCCACTTCCCTCCACAACATTCACATTCTCTCCAATCCTCACTTGTCTCTGTCCCGTCCTAACTCCCCACCATCTCACTCCCCCTTCCGCCCTGTCCTAACTCCCCACCAGCTCACTCCTTCCCATGTCCTCATACTTCCCTGCTGAACTTTGTTTCAATACTATGCTTCTTTTCTGTGCATGTGCACTTCCTTTGCATATGATGTCATCTGAATTCTGTGCAACGAGTAGTGAGTCTGGAATTATGTGCATACATGTTTCCAGATTGGCACGCATGCATAGTCACAGACAACACCAAGTGTCAGCTTCTTATTCAATTTTTCTGCAGTGGTTTGATACAACAGCCTAATACTTTAGGCCATTTCAGAGGTCAGTTGTCAACTATGTTGCCACACGTCTGGAGTCGCCACAGAAGAAGACCATGTAAAAACACCAGATTTTTTTCCCAGGTGGAAATCAGTGAACCAGATGGTTTTCTTATTCAGTAGTTTTGCGGTCATCATTACTGGAGCAAGGTTTGTATTCCAGATTTACTAATTAATTGACTTTAAATATCCCGGTGGGATTTTAAATTTATTCTTCTGGAGAATTGATCTGGGTCTCTGGATTACTAATCCAGCCATTTTACTTTATCATCATTCTGTTACCAGTCTCTGGATTTCAGGAGGGGAAATATCAGTTATGGTTATCAATCCTAGCTTTTAACTCATGATGCTTAAAGCAAGCACTTACAAGGATCAGATAGGACAAGTTCGAGCTCATGTGCCATTAGCTTGTCAAAATTCCATGTAGGGTTTCACTTAAACAGGGAACATCTTGATTGAAAACTGTGGAAATAAACTCCATCTGGCTAACTTCTGTGCTCATTTTATAACTTATACAATTAGCAGATATTTTGTTTCACTGTGAGGTGTGTAAGGCTTTGGAAAAATACATCGGATTTTGCTTCTCTACAAATATGCTGACTGAAAATGCATGTAACCTTGATTTTAAATTGATAAGTGTACACACTCAAATGAAGAAATTCACCATTTGATTCCGAGTTAACAGTCGGATTTGACAAGATTGTGTGGACAATAGTAGGACTGCTGCTTTTTGCAATGCAAAAACACTAAGATGCATTTTACAGTAAGGCATTTTCCAATAGGCATGAGTTTCTTACAGCTTAATGGGTAACTTAAATATCCCATAATTAATATATCCTTGCAGTCTTTTACACATTTCAGGTTAATATCCATAATGACAGGAAGAATATCTAAGCAGTTCCCCAGTTTCAGCCAGTTCCATGGCGCAACTTAACTAATACTTCCTTCAACTTTCACATCACTCTTCTGAAAACTATTTAATCAAATGTTAAATCAGATGGTGAACTTGTTATTATGTAAAATGTATATATTTATCTATTGCATCACTGGGCATTTATATATTTGTAGGTTGAAGTAAATTTTGTTGAGAATATCTGTTTATGACGGAAACAGGGTTATTTTTAATGCCTACCACCATGGCCCGACCAATAACAGATTCAATTCCTGAAAGACTAATGAGTTGATCTTCTATTTGAAACTCAGCAACACCATCTTCATTAGCTTCAATGTTGCCTAGATCTCCTACGTGCCTGGAATATATTACAATATTATAATTAGAAAAATAAATCAGAACAAAGCTTGTAGAACTTTACACTACGTGGACTCACTGACAGTATTTAACTATTTAACACAATAAGAAAATTCATGCCTAAACTGAATATGTGTACTGACATGTGCTATACATTTCTGTACATGACAGACAAGCTAAATGTTGAGCAAATACAGTTCTTTCATGTCGATCTAACTGGTTTTGATTTGGTTCCTTTGATTCTACGTGGGTCTAATCAATTGTCTTGTAGCATGAAAAAAACCAGTGAGCTGGCTGCTATTGAATAGATCCCTCATCAATGACTGGAATGATCCACCGCGTAAAAGTTTGGGACATAGCGATCTTTCATTTCCTCCAATGAATAACACCCTGCAGTCAGTAGAACATAGCTTGGGGTCACCCAGAGAATGTCAGGGATGGCCAATAACCTCTTTGGTGAAACACAGTCTTAAGATGCACTGCACCTTTGCCACATAATACAGGCTGTCTGTATATTTTCTAGCAGGGAAGGGAAATAGAGTCTCCACCCATAGGATTTCATTGTCAGGGCATCCTGTCTGTGCTGCTAATCCTGTTACAGGGGACTGAAATGGCTTACCCCTAATGCATAAGTAGATATGTTATTAATTTTTAAGAAGGGATACCAATTGGGAACAAATTACTGCAGATGCTGGAATGTGCACTAAAAACAACAACTGTTAGAGATCACAGTGGGTCAGACAGCATCTATGGAGAGACAGAGAGCAAGCTGACGTTTCAAGTTAGCTTGCTGTCTCTCCATGGATGTTGTCTGATCAGCTGTGATCTCCAGCATTTGTTGTTTTCAGTACCAATTAGGAAAGCCACTACAGATGATCATATTGTCCAAGAAGCATGAGTGTTGGTGGAATTATCTCAACATGATGCTCTGCACAAATCTAGCTATCATATAATCCTAATAACACAAACCTACTCCCTGGAGTATCAATATTTATCGAAAGTATTTGCAAGAATTTGTTTCAAAGCATTAGGTATGAAAATTACAAAAGCAGTAGAATTCTTTCTTTCTTTGTGAACTTTATTTTTCCTGCAGACTCGTAATCCCTTAGTAGAATTAAAACGATCAAAATATACCCTAAGGTTATATTCCGGGTAGTTCAAGAAAGTGTTATTCAAAATAGAAAGCAAATTGTTGTCAGATGAATATTTTCAGGCAGTGAATACAATATATAATTAATTTATCAAGGAATTAAATCCTGTCCTCAGGATGAAATTTATCGAGAAAGGTTCAAATGGCAGCAATCCATTTGACTTCTTGTTCCTTGAAGACTCATTAAAATATTTGAATTCTCTCCAATGCTGGTATCTATTTTGAATATTTAATATTTAATTCAAAACCCAGCCTTTCTACTTTCTGATCTAACATGCATTGTTTATTTAGGAAGGGTCTGGATACACACCTTTCATTATCTTGTTGCCCACCATGAATTTTCTTACGGGGATTGAAATGAGGTCCAATACTATGATAACCTAAAAATAAAGTATGTATTTTAGAACTCCAAATTACAACAAAGAGGACAGTTATTTTCTTTGAATGATGACCTACTTCACTTAGCATAAGTAGATAATGAATGCAAAAGTGACTGGCAAAGGAGGAAAAAAAGCAAGAAAAACAAATGCCTGCCACTTTAATGTAAAACTAAATGACTATTTTCAAGACAATTACAATCCTTCCTGTGTATCTGAGTATACTGGTCACCTGTCTTCAATCTTTGTAATTGTTTATGGATAAGTTCATACAGCACCTTGAACTAGCAAAATAACAACTCTTGCTTTGATTTTCAAAACATAAAGCTAACTGATTTTTTTTTTCTTTCTCATTTTTGATTTGGGGTTGTGAACTGTGAGCTAAGAGCTAAAGGTGACCTTTGGACTATGAGCATCAACTTGTTTAAAAAAAAGAACAAACTGATATTTGCTTATGAGACCAGGTTTGGAAGTTAATTGCATTTTGATTCTTGGTCAAAAGAAAAATAAAAAAATCATTGAGGGTTGTAACAGTGATTTCTACATTTCACTGACGTGCATTAGACTGTGCACACAGAGCTCCCTCGAGAAAGATAAAACGTTAATTTTCAAAGGCTAAAATAGAATAATATTGACACACTATCTTTCACTTAAAAGTGTGATCCAAAAGTTTCACCAGCTTCTTGAAACTTACCAGTGAAACCAAAGCATTGCGTGCCAGGGTTGAAGTCAATTACAGGCAAAGATGTCAGTGATTACTTAGTTGTCAGTTGTTTTCTATCTGCAAGTGGGAAAGGTTGAGTTTTAAAAAAATACTTTTGCTGAAATTTTCCTTTGTACAATTCAGAGGTCATTTTCTACATTTTGGAAGTTAGCATTACACATCAAGATAGACTGGACTTCAAAAAGAGGACTAAAATGTCCAGCAATGTCAGTTGCAACAGCCTGCTAATCACCAACCTTCACACTGGCTATCAGAATCACCACTACCCACAACTGGGAAATAAAATTCACAGAATAACAAAATCAGAGAAAGAAAATGTATCCTCAAGTCCAGCTTAAACAGGAAGACCTCTTATTTTCAAACTGTAAGATATCGTTCTTGTCTTCCCAACAAGATGTGGAGGTGCCGGTGTTGGACTGCAGTGGATTCGGTCAGAAGTCACACAACACCAGGTTACAATCCAACACTTTTATTTGAAATCAAAGCTTTCAGAGCACTGCTCCTTTCATCAGGTGAAGAAACATCTTCTCCATAACTCCCCATTGAGTCTTACATTATTCAAAAAGATTCACCCCCTAATTCTTCTAAACTCCAATAGCTACAGGACCAACCAGCTCGACCTCCTTCTTATGATAAGCCATTCATCCCAGGGATGAGTCAAGCGAACCCTCTCTGAACTGTTTCTCATGCAATTAAACAATTTCCACAAATAGCAAAACTGTATATAGTACTTGAGATGTGGTTTCACTATGGCCCTATACAGCTGCAGCAATAATTTCCTACTTTTATATTCCATTCCTTTGAAATAAATGCCAACATTCCATTTGCCTTCCTAATCACTTGCTGCCAATATGTACTAGTTTTTGTGATTTGCGTAACGCAAATCTTTTTGTATCACTGAGGTCCGCAACCTCTCTACATTTCTTTAATATACAGCTTTTCGTTTTCCATCTGCGAGGTAAAAAGCAGGTGATAATGAATTCTCAGTTCACGCAACTTTGCACTCCATGTTGAATTGATAGGTCATTTCAAGGAGCCATTTATCTCCTGCAGTCTGCTCTCTTGTAGATCTACGGTCTTTTGCCACCCCCTCAATAAATATTCACTATGACACAAGTAAAAGAGTTGGGTCAGAGTACTCAGCTACAACTAAGGTTTAGCAGTCTACTTCCTGGCTCTCACAAACTCAAGCACTCAGAAAACTGCAACCATAGTCTTATAAAATGCCCCTGCCTGAGGCATTACAGTCTACAATTACCTTTGAGGCAATGACAGGAAACCCTCATTCGCAATGTAGTTAGGAATGCTTCTTAAAAGAAAAGTGGTATAAGTTGATCACTTGCAAGAGAAACTAACAAAATAGCATTATGTTTGCCATTAATTTCATCCTTAAATCACATTTCAGTCTGGAGTGTAATGAATATAGAAGCTGTATAAAAAGTTTTGAATTTATTAAATATAGGATGAAGAAAATTGTATAAGATTTAACAAAGACTTTTAATTAGAATGATTTGGTGTATGATGTCAGGTGAATTGGACCTGCAGTTTCGTGAAATCACTGAGTGACATGTTGATCCTTCGTGGTTCTTGCTACTGGAGTTGGGCCACGACTTTCCATTATTACCTCTCCTTTCCCTTGAGCATCTTTATCAGATGAGGCCCACTTCTGCTTTGTCTCTTCCATATGCAGTCCCCTCTATAATGCAATGTTACGCCTCTGTACTGCAATGTAACATAGGATGCTGTCTCAAGATAAATTTATTCTGGTAGCTCCAAGGATACTTTTCACAGACCCTGATTATGATATTATGAAGTTAGCCATAGCCATACATCGGTAGTGTAGAATCCTTCTCTATTTACATATGTTGCTATATGATGTTCTAATGCTCTAATGGCAACTTGTATGTCATCTGTTACGTCCTGCAAATATGCAAAGTGAGCCACCGCAACAAACCCTTGTCTCTTTCTTATGGACGATAGAGGTTAATGAATCACACATTATACTACCCTCATGAATTATACAATAAAGTCATCTGCTTGATGAAACTGTGCACTTTAGCTACTGTCCCGTGTCATAGACTAAAATGATTAAGTGACAAAATGATCCAGGGCGGTGATGGTTTTAAAAACACTGGCAAAGCTGATCCTGTCAGATCCAGAAATCAACAGTCTTTATTCCATAATTATCAGAAATCTGCAGCAGCCTGACTTTAAAGGCACAGCTCCACACATAGATCACCAAATAATATTCTTTGCCTTTGGAACCTCAACTGGAAATAGCCTTCAATGAGCTTTAACTCCTCATTCGCTTGGTGGGGTGTGTGACACAGCCCGAAACAATAGTTGAGCAGATTCAACAGTAACTCTTAAAAAGGATTATATACATAAAAATCAAAATGTGGGGTTAGAATGAGCAATAGAGCGAGTCCAAAATGATAATTCTTACAAATAACTGGCAGAGATGAAATGGGGGACCAACCTACATACTGCATGATTCCATGATTATTCATTTTAATAAACATCATGAAATGAAATTCAAAGACATTTAGCATCTCATTGAAGGACCTCTCTCCAGCCAATGTCTCATACCAATGACGCAATGTTTTCATGATATTTGTTAACAATAGTAACAGTTACTAATAACTATGTGCAGATTGTACCAGGCGAGAGCAAACATAACAAGCTGATCTGACATTTTAGTGTTATATCAATTTTCAAAAGATTACCCCAAGGAGGTTTAAGATCTAGCTATTGCTGCAGGGACAGAGCAAAACACAAATATAAGATTAAACACAATATTCTGTAAACAAATCAATCTATGTTATTTAATATAATTATTTGCAAAAATACACGTTGTACAAGATAAAAAAGAAGCTTATTGATAAAATATAATTATTTACAAATGCATTTGGAACACAGGCCATACCATTAAAAAGATTTCCGAAAGTACACACATGAAGCCCATGTTTTCCACGAGGCAATCCAGTAAAAGTTCCTTTTATTAATACTTGTCCATTTGCCTACAAAATAAAACAATAAATAAAGATAAAAGTTCAAAATATGTTTTTTTAACCAAAGTGACATTCAAACATTGCCAAAGATTTTTCATTTCTCAATGATATCAGTCATAAAGGCCAAAGTATAGGAGATTTTGACATGCTCCCAAATTAACAGCTAGGCCAATTACCAGCAGCTAGGTAGGCACACTGGTTCTCAACTAATTACTTACAAATATTTATGCATGCTATAGTTATCCTTGTCATTTTTACTTACAATTTATAATTTAAAGCTATTCACAAATATTTGCAGTGAAACAGAATTGTTCAAACTAGGGAGTGTTGCCCTGTCAGAGATCTCATCTAAAAGGGGGCACAATTTGAAGAGCAAGTGAGTTTTCCTTTTATCTTACATAATGCTTATTCCTCAACCAACACGAATAAGAAAGCATAGGAACAGGTCATTTGGCTCTCCAAGATTGCACCAACGCATGGCACCTTTCTAAACTAAAAATCTTTTGCCTCTACGGAGTCCATATCCCTCTATGCCCTGCCTTTTCATGTATCTGTCAAGATGCCTCTTAAAACGTTGCTGTTGTATCCACTTCTGCCACCTCCTTTGTCAGTGCATTCTAGGCACTTATCACCTGTGTAAAAAACTTGCCTCTCATACCTCCTTTACACTTGCCCCTTTTACCTTAAACCTACGCCCTCCAGCAAATGACATTTCTACCCTGCAAAAAAGATTCCAACTATCCATGCCTCTCATAATTTTGTAAATTTCTACCTAGTTTGGACATTAGTATTGGCAGTGGCCCTCGGGTAATTCCTAGGCAGGTGAGTGGACAATGCCACAGGCAGGAAGGCTATCAAAACTCAGAGTTAGATCCACACAACAGATAGCGCAGAATGATTTTTAAAATCTCTCACTTTATAATTTACAATTCATTGGTAACTACAGAGACCACATAAGAATTATGGTGCCTGGCCAATTGATGACGAACAAGTTTTAAAAATGGGTCCCTAAATGGGTATTAAGTTCTCCAGAAGTTTAGCTTTGGAAACAATGCTTGTGTGGAGTGGGATTATGTGGCTTCACTGTTAAAGATTAATGAGTTTGTTTACCTGTTGTATACCACAATAGCTTTGCAACAAAACCACAAAAAAATTTCAAATATATCCAATGGAGGGAGCTAAACTTACATAACATATACCCATTAACATTTACAGATATTGTGATCTGGGATAACACATCATTACAGCTCCAGGAATTCCTGAAACTGAATTAAGAACTTTACTCCCCCATTAGGTCAGGAAATAGTGAGCAACTAATTGCCCCACGTGTACCCTCAGTACTTAAAATGTTATTGACTGTAGCACCTGAAGATAGACTGGGCAGCTGCAGAACATAAATTCCCAATTTGTTCAGGAACTCATAATCACTCCAGCCTACAATCAACATGTGCAGGCTGCCACCTTAGCATGGCCACAGGATTAGGTCATCTCTCCTTTATGCAAAAGGACCCCAGGATGTCAATGATATGAGAAATCAAATTAAAATCACATGCCATTCTTAGGGGACCAGAGTTAGACATGATCTCTAGTGAAGGTAGAAAAATGTAATACTGAAGGAGATGCAGTCGATCTCAATATACTTAACACCTCACTTTTTTCATTTGTTCACTGCATCAGACAGTATAGGCGAGGCAAACATTTATTGCCTATTCCTAACTGCCCTTGAGGATCCGCTGCAATCCATAGGATGCAGGCACACCTACGCAGCCAATTGGCCTGCATCCACATTGTAAGACTTCTGTGATTCTGTTGCAATAAAGTTTCAGAATTTTGACCCAGCAGCAGTGAAAGAACAACAAATCAGTCCAAGTCAGGATCAGGTGTGGCTTGGAGGTAAACTAGCAAGTGGTGTCTTTTTTTAAATTCACTCACGGGACGTGGACATCACTGGCAAGGCCATTATTTACAGCCCATCCCTAAATTGCCCTTGAGAAGACAGCGCTGCTTTGAACCGCTGTTGTCCATATACTAAAGGTAGACCCACAATGCCATTAGGGAGGGAATTCAAGGGTTTTGACCCAAAACACTGAAGGTACAGCAATAGATTTCCAAACCAGGATAGTATGAAGCTTGGAGGGGAACTTGCATTCCCAAGTATCTACTGGCCTTGTCCTTCTGGATGGAAATCATTGTGGGATAGAAGGTGCTAGGCCTTCGTGAATTTCTGCAGAATTTTTTGTAGATTGTACACATTGCTTCCACTGAATGCCAGTGGCAGAGGAAGTGAATGTGGTGCCAATCTCTGTCCTGGATGGTGTCAAGCATCTTGAAATTCTGGCTGCACACACATCCAGGCAACTAAGGAGTATTCCATCATACTCCTCAGTTCAGCCTTGTAAATGTTGACCAAGTTTTGGGGAGACAGAAGGCAAGTTATTCACTGTAGGATTCCTCACCTCTCACCTGTTCTTGTGGCCAGTGTACTTACATGAAGGGTACAGTTCACTTTCTAATCAATTGTAATCCATGGGGTGTTGATAATGGGGTAGTCAGTGATGGTAATGCCATTGAATGTTAAGGGACAATGGTTAGGTTCTTTCTTGTTTGAGATAGTTATTGCATAGCATTTGTGTGGCTTGAACGTTACTTACCACCGATCAGCCGAAGCCTTGATATTGTATAGGTCTTGCTGCATTTGGGCATGGACTGCTTTGGTATCTGAGGATTTGCAAATGGTGAATTGTACAATCTTCATCTCCACCTCTGACCTTGATGGGCAGGCGGTCATTGACGAAACAGCTGAAGATGGTTGTGCCCAGCACTAAGGAACTTGGCTCATGACGCAGTGGTAGTGTTCCTAAAATACCTATTCTAAATTGATCCATAGGTGTGTCATAGCATCACTGAACAGGTTGATTTCAAAAGAAAAATACCCTGAAGGACTCCTGCTGAGATGACTGACCTCGAACAACCACAACCATCCTTCATCTGCAAGGTATGACTTCAACCAGCAGAGAAAATCCCCCCTCGTTTCCACTGAATCCAGCTTTGATAGAGCTCATGGATGAAGCCAGGAACAATCTAATGTGGCATTGATGTCAAGGATGGTCATTCTCACCATACTTCTGGAATTCTGCTCTTTTGTCCATGTGTTAACCATGTGTAGTGACTCTTGCTGAAGCCAGACTGGGAGTTAGTGAACAGGTTATTGTGGATCAGGTGCTCAATACTTATTTGTAGTATTATTTATTCAGTACACATTCATTTGTATTCAGTATGTACATGGTTGGTCCAGTTCAGTTTCTAGTCTCCTTGATAACCCAACATGTTGACAGTGGGGGGAATTTAGTGATGGACATCCCATTGAATATTAAGGTGAGGTGGTTAGATGCTTCTCTCTTCTTAAAGATTGTCAGTGCCTAGCAATTGTGTGGTGTAAATGCTACTCATCACTTATAGGCCCAAGTCCTGACATAATCCAGGTCTTGCTACACATGAACCGAGGCTGTTCCAGTGTGGAAAGTCACAAATGGTGCAATCAGGAGTGAACTTCCCCATTTCTAACCCTATGGTATAAGAAAGGTGAATAATAAAGTAACTGAAGATGATTAGGCCTCGGTCACCAATGTGAGGAACTTTGGGGACTCAACAGATTGACACCACCCCTCATTCCCATTGACTCCAGTTTTGATAGAGCTCGTTGAAGCCACACTTAGTCAAATATAGCACTGATGTCAAGGGCCATCCATAATTCTTCATATCATGTGAAGAGAACCAAATTGGCTAAACACTTATATTTGTGATGCTGGTTGAAGATGGCCGCAAAGGCAGCATAACATTTGCAATGATGCGTTGGGCCTCACTTTTATTGAGGATGGGAATATTTGTTGAGCTTCCTTGCTCAGTTACTTTGTTAATTTATTCACCAACATTCATGACTGCATACGTCAGGAGTGCACAACAGAGTTCTGATCTGTTAATTGTGGGATCGCTGAGTTCTGTCAGCTTCCGCTGGTGTTTAGCATGATGAAATCTTCTATGGCAACTCCATTTTAGGTGTGCCTGGTTTGCTTTCCTACACCACTCATAGAACCAGGATTGGTCCACTGGCTTGTTAATAATGGGAGATTGGAAAAATGCAAGACCATAAAGTTGCAGGTTGTAGTTGAATGCAATGCTCTTGCAGCTGTTGGCTCACAATGGATCGCGGATGATTGGTTTGGAGTTGCTAAATTTGTTTAAATTCTGTTCCATTTAGTACATTGGTCCTGCCACAGACATGCTGGACAATATGTTCAAAGTGAGCATTAGACTTCATCTCCAAAAGGACTGTGCACTCATCACTCCTACCAATACTATCATGTATCTGTGACAGATAGAATGGCAACAAAGTCAAGCAGGTTTTTCCCTCTGATTGACTCCCTCATCATCTGCTGCAGATCCAGTCTAGTAGATATGTTCTTTAGGATCTAGCCAGTAGTGCCTTGTGTGCCCTTGCTACTCTCATGCTTCTTCCAAATGGTGATCAATATGAAATCGCACTGATTCATCAGCTGTACAGATCAGTTGGTGGTAATCAGAAGGAAATTTTCTTGCACATTTGACTTAATGCCAGCCTCATGAAGCCTGCAGACAATATTAAGGACTCTTGAGGTAACCCATTCCAACTGTATGCCACTGTGTCACCACCTCTGTCCTGCTGATAGGATAGGACATTTCCAGGGATAGTGATGGTAATGTCTGGGGCAAATTTTACAATATCTGGCTGTTATTCAATTAGTCTGCAGATCAGCCCTTCCAATTTTATCATGTCTCCAGTTGTTAGTAAGGAGAAATTTGCAGGTTCGAGTGGGCTGGGTTGTCGTTGTTCATTTCCATTGCTAGGCTGATGCTCGGCAGTCTTTCGTTCCTTTTAGACTTTGGGAGAACGTATTGCCTTGCTAGGCCATTTTAAAAGTTATTTCAGATTCAACCATGCTGCTTGGTCATTTACAATTGTAATTTCCTAAAAATGACACGTGAAGCATGTATTGGGTTTCTCCATAATTTAGAAATTTTATTGCAATAGATATGTCATACAGTCATACAGCACGGAAATAGACCTTTTGGTCCAACCAGTCCACGCCTAACATAAATCCAAACTAAACTCATCCCACCTGCCAGCTCCTGGCCCATATCCCTCCAAACCTTTCTTAATCATGTGCCTATCAGTGTCCTTTAAACACTGTAACTGCCAACATCCACCACTTCCTCAGGTAGTTCATTCCACACGCAAACACATCCTCTGTGTAAAATGCTTTCCCTCACGTCTTTTTTTAAATCTCTCTCCTCTCACCTTAAAATATGACCCTAGTCTTGAAGTCTAGCATCCTATGGAAAGGACACCTACCATTAACCCTATATTTACCTCTCATGATTTTATAAATGGGTCACAGCTCTTTGAACTAAGTACAGGCAACGATACGGATACAGTTGTAGATATTTTTGAATCCACCTGTTCAGAGCCATCATTACACTCCTTTAGAGCAGGCAGGACTTGAACCTGGGACTCAGAAGGAGGAACATTATCACTGCGCCACAAGAGCCCTCAAAAACTGTATATATTGTAAGAAGTGTGGTAGGTTGTCCCTAGATCTTCACCTGATCTTTTCTCAGGGGATTTGCATTTTACAAATGTTCAACACTATTTTGCAGTAATAAATACCTCTATGGTGTGAAAGTCTAATGCCAAGCAAAACAAACTAGTGTGAATCTCCCATTTAATGGAAACAGGTGACCTTCCAAAATATTTTAGGAAGTTAAAATCTGGACCACAGAGGATTTGTAAGTAATTCTAGATTTTCCATTTCTCACCAGTAACATGGCATGAACTATACATCAAATAAGAATAATAGCTAAGAAAAGGCCGATTCATTTTACTTACCAAATTGCATGATAGCTTCCCAACAGTAAAGATTTGAGAATGACTCTCATTTGTCCGAATCGTCTTGTATATGTTAAAATGAACCTCCAGTATGTTCATTTCCAAGTGTTGCTGTGTTTATATATATAAGGCTGATTTATCTCAATCCGGGAGCAAGGGCACTAAATTCACATTATTTTAACTCAACTCATGCCTGGGTTTAACCTTCCAAACAGCGCCATTCAAACCCTCCTGTTACAGCCATGGTGTTAAAGTGGGGGGCGAATTTCAGGAGGTTCGGGGATGATGTTCTGGAAGATTCCGCCAGGCCAGGGAGATGTCCTCAGTGAGAAACTCACCTGTGATTCAAAAACGACAACTCCACTGACGCCGCTGACAGGGTCGGGTAAATCATGTACATAAGGATATACATCGTGCTGATCTTTCAGGACACAAACAGCTTTTATTTCCATCTCTCCCTTGGTCGACAATCAGCGATGCCGCGGAGAGGAGAATCGCGCCTGCGCAGTCTACCCTCGCCCCCCAAACGTGGTCGAATGGACGTGATGGCCTTCACCTCCTGGTGGGCAATCCTCATGCCGCCAACTGATTCACGGCATTGAATTTTTCTTCTTGCATAAAGTGGTATCTATTTTGTCAGCAACTGTATGATTTGCACGGCCTTTCTCTTTTTTTGCAGCAATAAAGGCAAACAAGTCACAGTTTTCAATTAAAATGATTGACCAATGACATAGATCAAACACTGAACATAGATCAAAACAGCACAGGAACAGGCCCTTCGGCCCACCATGTCTATGCCAACCATGATGTCATTATAAACTAATCCTATCTGCCTGCACAGAGTCGTATCCCTCTATTTCCTGCCTGCTCACATGTCTGTCTAAATGCCTGTTAAACTTTGCTAAAGTATCTGCTTCTCTTAGCTCCACTGGCAGCGCGTTCCAGATACCGACCACCCTGTGAGTAAAAATGGTGCCTCACACATCTCCCTTGAACTTCTTCCCCTCTCGCCTTGAGTTTCTGTCCCCCAGTATTTGACAATTCTAACCTGGGGAAAAAGACTCTGGCTATCCACCCTATCCATGTCTCATATACAGCAAACTGTGTTTTAACTAGCACCTTATGAAGCAGCACTCTTCATAAACCAGCAAAAATTATATTCGCAAATCCTGGAAGTTTACTGTATTATCACGATCTCCACGATGTTCCAGTAATCAGTCGAAGGTGCGAGTGAGAAAGCTCTTTGCCAGTAAGTTTTACTTATGTCAAAGTTGAATTATTACGAAGTGATTTATGCTGTAAATAAATCATAACAGTGAACGTGTATACCCCTTGCATTACGTTTCTATTATTTAGGGCGTGTTTTTACATTGATTATGTGGACCTCTTGATCAACCAAAATATTTGATTAATCAGCACACTCCTAGTTCCATTAGTGTCAGTTTAAAAAATTGTTCTACTTCTTTAAGTTCACCCCTCAGCCTCCAAAGCTCTAGTAAAAACAATCCAAGTTTGTTCAATCTTTCCTTATAGTTAAAACACTCCAATCCAGGCAACATCCTGGTAAACCTCTTTTGTACCCTTTCCAAAACCTCCATATTCTTCCTACACTGTGGGGACCAGAACTGCACACAATACTCCTAGTTTGTAAATATATTCTAATAGCATTAATATATCCTATTATTTGAGGCCATTTCAAGAGAATGTACTCAGTGGAAGAAACGTGTAAGAAACATCAAGCTTCAAGTATATTGTTAACTTACTTTGTCTTTTCCATTATTGATAAATCCCATCCTAAAATAGCAATGATAATAATTTTATGCTAATTAAGATGAAGAATGCAGTACTGGGAAAGGTTTCACATTTGGGCATTTAGATTTATTATCGGTCAGGGCATTCAGGATAAAAGTTGGCAAGTCATGTTGCAGCTGTATAAGAATTTAGTTAGGCCGCATTTCTCTATATTGTTGAAATGTTTGGCCTTGGGTGTTTGGTCTCATCTTAGTTTCTAGTTTTGTTTTTAAGAGTGGTGTTACACTGAATGTATGTAGAGTTGAAATAAACAGCTACATAAAGGTATACATAAACCATTAAGTATGTGGGGAGAAATTAGTTTGCGTCAGCTTACTGACTTTAAATTGACATTACGGATAAAGCCTGCTCCTATTCACGTGGATGCTATTAACATACTTGTCTTTGCACTAAATTAATTTAGGGCAAATGTGCTGTTCATTGGCAGTTCACTTCATGCAAGTTCTACTGCTAACTAGTGAAACCCACCACTGCTTAAAGTATAAGTACATTTTGATTGCTTTAGATATTTTCTAATCAATCTGCCCAGAAATATTACCACACACCTTCGGAGCACGTGGGATATGAACCCAGGCCTCCTGACTCAGAGATGGGGACACTACCACCGCACAAGAACGATTGCTGTATGCTATTCAATTAGGCTTCAAAAAGATCAGAATCAATGTCAGTGAGGGGCCCACAAAAGATTAGAAACAATTAGAAACTTATATAGAGAGGACCCACCATCTGTAGTTAACTAAAGAAATTAGAGAAAGCATCAAAGTTAAGGAGAAAGCATGTAACTGCACAACAGGTGGGTGGAAGGACAGTGGCAGATTGGTCAGCATATGAAAAACAGCAGAGAATGAGGCTCAATCAGGAGGAAGACATTAAAAGTATGAGGGATAGTAGGAACTGCAGATGCTGGAGAATCTCAGATAACAAGGTGTAAGAGCTGGATGAACACAGCAGGCCAAGCAGCTGCTTGGCCTGCTGTGTTCATCCAGCTCTACACCTTGTTATCTCTTATTTAAGAGTATGAGGGGAAGCTGGTGCAAAAACAGATGGCAAGCATTTCTACACATATTTAAAAAGGAAATGGGTAACTAAAATGGGTGCTGGTCCTCTAGAGAGAGTGTGAATGATCAGTTAATAGTATAAGAAAATAACGCTTCTGTCTTCTCTATAGAGTATACAAAAATGATTCCAGGAATAACTGAAACAAGGAGATGGAAGGGCGAGAGAAATTTATTGAAATTACAATCATGAGGGAAGCGGTACTAAATAAACTGCCAGAACTAGGTGCTGATAAGTCGCTGGGTCCAGATGGACTTCGGCCTAGTGTCTAAAAAGAGGTTGCTTATGAGGTAGTAAATATATTTGTGTTAAATTTTCAAAATTCCCTAAATTCTTGTTAAGCAAGGGAATCAAAGGTGTGGCAGTAGATAGAATGTGGAATACAAAAACATGAACAGATCAGCCATTGCCTTATTAAATCACAGAGCAGGCTTGAGGAGTCAAAAGGCTTCCTTGTGCTCCCATTTTTTAAGTTCAAATGTAAATGAAAAACCAATATACTGACTCACCAAATGAATCCAGCAGCAGAAATTGCACTAAAGCCAGTTCCTGAAACTACCAAATGAGTGAGTATTAATTAGTCTGTTTGTTTTGGATTGCAGTTAAAAGATAGCATCATTCAATTAGCAACATTTTGTCAAAATCTTTATCAACATTGTAGCTTTTAAGATATAGCATTTTGATTAAACACCAAAATATTGCTCCTCATTAATATTCCACACCTCTGTTTATTAGATCATGACATGCACATCCTCAAGACATCTCACTAGGCTATCACACACATTCTTCTTTTTTGTAGGTTAAGTGGATGCACGATACATGGGAGAAGGCATAAAAAAAGGAAGGTCAGATGCTCTCTCAGGAAATGGTGCTTCTGGACATTGTGGAGGCAAGTTGTGAGTCAGGTCGTGGTGACAGGTGGGGTCATAGCAATGAATCCTGCAGTGTTTTTTTTTAAACATTTCTTACGCTCTTATTTCTTTCCCAATGCAATATTTTCCTACATACTGTAGATGACAAAGTACATTTGTTTTTATCAGCCATTATTTTGACTCTGTTTACCAACACTGCTAACTGTCCATCACTTTCAATTTCAGGTCTAGAATCTCTAAATGGCCTTGTTGGAATAGTGGAAGTGACATTCAGAATAACTGAAGGTGAACCATCAACTATATTTTGGAGGCAATCACTCAGAAGTTGGCACTCTACATAATTTATACGAATGTTCAACTGATTTGCAAAAGAGAGACACCCATCAATCAGAAACTTGATTACGTGCAGGGGGTAAGACAGTATAGGAAGGAGTTTCTAGGAGAAGAGTTCACATCCTGACATTGCTGAAAGGAAACAGGGCATAGAATAAAATTGGTGCATGTGTACTCTAAACTTCTAGACGCACTGGGCTACCTGACAACAAGCCTCTTCACAATGGAAGAGTATAGAGGAGTTCAATTCTAATTATTGTAGGGTCTTTGGGGCATTGTAAGGGTATTGTGACAAACAGTCATTAACAGTGAATGGTGTACCAAGGAAATTCACATGCCAAAATCAGGTTAAGTAAGCTAAATTGTCTGCAATAAATACTTTATGATTGCTTGTAAATAATCAAATTGATAATGTATGATGATAGATTAGAATATAATGTTTTATATTATTGACATATATAGAATACAACATGGTTAGCTCGGTGAACATGAACGGAAAGTCCATTGTGATGGAATTTCTGAGGCTAGTTCTGACATCTTCACTGGGAGCTCAGACTTGACTAATAAAGAAGACGATAGAAATCAGCTTCACACTTGGAGTCTTTTTTCAGCAACAGCAATGAACGCTGACGCTTAACCCTACAAGAGTGACAGTGGCACTGAATGAAGCACAACAGTTATTGCCAGGAAACAGAGGATACAGGGCATTCTTGGAAGGATTGCAATCCTTGAAAAATCCTGGTTCTTCAAAACTGCTGTGTTTGCTTCATGAAGAAGGTGAAGTAATTCTCCTGGGAGGACAAAGCTTCAATAAACTGAGTTGTCTTATTGATGCTATCTGTTACAGCTGGAATTATCTTGTGACAGAAACTCAGGGTCATGGTGACCTTGACAGCCATTGATAATCCAAAGACCAGAGTCCGAATTTGTGTTGCAACAAGTGTCACATTTTTCTGATATTTTCTGAAACGGAAGTTTTTGATGCCATCTTTACCAGTGAGGATATGATATGAAATTCTGTTCTTGAACAGCTAAGCTTTATACAGAATGTGTCTTCCTCTCCTGTCTCTTTCACAGTAGTTGCAAGTTTATGAATGCTCACACAAGAGCATCAGAGCAGAATTATAAGAATTGTAAAAATCCTGCTTGTTCAAAAATTAGTTAGAAATTACAAATTACATTTTGCAGCAAATGCCTGACCCAATATGCACCTCAGCGCACCTTTTCTTACAATTATTAAACTGGGACTTTTAATGTTCTGGAGACAAGGATCCTCTTACCACTTGTGAAGGTTGGATCCCAACAGTTCCCACCAAGATCTACTGGTGGACTTAAAGAAGTAATAAATCAGGCACTGGTGTAAACAAATTTCACAAACATTCCTAAAAATCAGTCATCTAAGGATTCTTATTTTAATAGGCCAACCACTTGCAACATAAGCAATTAATATCAGCAAGGGATTCTTCTATAGTTGTAAAGTTTCTAATTTACATTGATACATGTGACAAGCAACAACTCTGAAAGAAGACTCCACAAATTTAGCATTGAAACTAATGTCTGCCCGCATTTGGTTATTTTCTTTTAAATAAAACTGAAGAAAAATACACGGTTTGGAGACTCATAAGATAATATTTTTTCATTGCAATCGAGACTACTCTCCAGAAAGGAACTGTGTTGCTTGTCAGGTGCTATGAAAACTCTTGAGGTTGTGTAAGGTGCTAAATAACTGAAAGTCTGTCTTCTTTATACCCAAATGAGAAACTGAACTCAAGGATCCTTGTTAGATCCACAACCTAATTACCTATGCTGTCAAAAAACTGATGAAATCAATCATTTTTAATTTTTGCTTCCCATTCTTATAAAAGATTATTCATTATTGCAAGCAAGTGGGCTTGAAAATATGTATTTTATGGGTTCAATCAAGAACGTTGTAAAGTCCACAACAAAGGCTCTATAATCGTAAAGTTGCCAGTAACTGCTGGAGCTGTGCCAAAAAAGTCCAGATGGCCAAGGTTCCTTGTTGAATAAGCTAAATTGTATGAAGAGATTAAATGTTCTATGATTGTTTTCTCATAACCAAGTTTATTATATTGATGATAGGCTAGGCTATACTTTTTGTTTGACGTAGCATAAAAGATACAAACAATGAAATATCATATGGTCAAGTTGATGATACCTGGAAGACTGAAACTTTGGTTTATCTCAAAAATTATGGATTTTAATATGTATCCTTGCGACAAATGCATTATCTTGATTAGTTACCGAGACAATAGGCACGGGCTAAGGTACATTTAACTGAATGAATTATTTTTTCCATGTCTAAATGAGGTGAAAGGATATTAAAAGAACTTTTTTAAATAAGAAAATGTATAGGGTTAGGACACATAAAAGGAAATGAGAGCAGCTTTTGAAGCAAGAGTTCAAAACTGAACAAGTACTAAGTGAGACTTCATTGGTGAAGAAGCTGGCATTCATGGTATTCATAACTTTCTAACCAGATTGTGATTTCACATAACAGAGAAAATTGCAAGACTGAAAATCTACACTGTATTAGTTAGAAATATAATCCCAATGCAACATAATTTTAAGGACTTTTAGGTGGAATCTATTTCCCCTATTATTTCCGAAAGATTTCTGCTCCAGCTAAGAGAGGCTATTTCTTACATCCACCTTTTCACCAGTATACACATACATATGACAGGAATTGTATAATTCTATCATGCACATGCCATTACTCATGACTCTCCTGAGTCTAAAATGGATAAAGATAAATGAGAAAAAGCAAACAATTAGATTTTATTTTGCTTCGAGGACTTCCAGATTTGTATTTCGCATTGACAAACTGAATGACTCTGGAGTAACCTGACATATTTCACTCTCACACGCAATAGGAATACTATTACAGCAATTTCCCCATTGAGGATTCTACAATTACCAAGCCTGAAGAGGACATGCCCATAGGGAAAAAAAGTGATTGAGGTAGCATCAAAGAGGGATTATGTCAATCCACACATTCTCATCATGACTATGTAAGCCTTCAGATCTTACAAGGCATTAAGGATTTTTCTCTTAGCAACTTTGTTTCACTAAAGATTCCCTGGATTAGGTATATCATCTTCTCTAAGGTACTTGTCAGGCCAAATAAATTATACATACAAGTCTGGCTATCAACATCCATAATCCTTTGACTTTTTGTATCATTCAACTGTCCTTGGGAGTCATACGCTACAATAAGTAGTGAGCCATTTGAGGTCATAGCTGCCAGGTCATCAATGTCATCTTCAGAACAGGTGAGTGATTCATCCATTTTGGGCTGATTCCAAAGTAACAGCATCAAGGAGACACACTGGATTTCACACAGTCAAGGGGCAACTGAGGAATTCACATGGTACAGCAGCTTCTACTATGGAGTTGCTGGATTTCTTGAATAGAAAGAAATTCCACTCAATCAATGCTCCATGATCAGCTCCAATTAATCCTGCACATCAATTCAAAATTTTCAATGAGTTTGTGTATGCACCTCTCCAGTATTTCAGCTCTATTTTGAGTCAGCTCCTCAGGACAAGGTGTAGTGCTAGTTTCTATTATTTGCATGGTCTTACCTCCCAACTCCCAACTGATGTCAAACTCATCAGAACATTGTTATGACAAGACCCACAAATTTCCCAGTCACATTAGCTTAAAAATTTGCATCCATATAACAACTTCAATGAAAAGGAGATGAATTTTTATTTTTGTCACTAACTAAATTTCAGAAGTGACATTTTGGCAAAAAAAATGGCAGTACAGTACTTAATGTAAATATTCTCACATGCTAAAATACATATTGAAAAACATTTTTACTATTGGTACAGACAGCTAAAGACATTAATACATCTAATCTTCCATAAAGACACTTTAGCTTTAGTTTCATTCTCAGACTTCTTAAAGTGTAGCTCAATGAAATAAAATGTTGCGAAGTGTCATCATTCTGTGCTGCAGCCTACTTCTTTACGCTCAAAACTAGAGCGTGATGCAAAATAGAACTGCAGACATCAGAGTACAATTGACATTTGATTCAAATCAAATTTTCTGGCATACAGCATTGTTTCACAAAAATTGGAAAGGAACATTTCTTAAGAATGGTTGGTACCTAAAATAATTCATTTTGAAATTAAAGCTGAAAGAAAATACCTTTGCTCATGCAGAAACGAACAAGCAAAAATATTTTTTCAGCTGGAAAATGTATTTACATGTCCACAAACAAGGAACATTTAGCAAACAGTCATAGATAAATATAGCTTTTGTAATGTGAACTAACAACTTTATTAGTTAGATTTATCTTTTAAGACTTCCTCCAAAATATCACCCTGACAAATTCCAATCACTCCCCACGCTAAACCTTCTCCAGTATTTCCTGTTGTCAGGCTTTCTTCATTATCACCTTTTCCTAGGTCATCTTCATTCTGGTGAATCTATTGAAAATAAAACATGCAAGCATATTACCGTTGCATTCAGTATCATTTTATGATATTTACTCATAAAATGTAGTGAAGAAGGTGTTTGGTACACCTGCCTTCATTGATCAGAACATTGAGTACAGGAGTTGGGACATCATGTTGCGTCTGTACAGGACATTAAGGGGCCACTTTTAGAATACTGCGTACAATTCTGGTCACCCTTCTATAGGAAGGATGTTGTTAAACTTGAGAGGGTGCAGAATGGATTTACACAGATATTGCTGGGACTGGAGGGTGTGAGCGATAAGGAAAGGCTGAATAGGCTGGGGCTTTATTTTCCCTGGACCGGCGGATGCTGTGGGGTGACCTTATAGAGGTTTATAAAAATCATGAGGGGCATGGATAGGGTGAATAGCCAAGGTCTTTTTCCTCAGGTAGGGGAGTCCAAAACTATAAGGCTTATAGTTATGGTGAGAGGAAAGAGATTTAAAATGCACCTGAGGGCAACATTTTCACACAGAGAGTTGTGCAAGTATGAAACAAGCTGCCATTTAAAAGGCATCTAGATGGGTTTAGAGGGATCTGGGCCTAAATGCTGGCAATTGGGACTAGATCAGTTTAGGATCAAAAACAAAGTTGCTGGAAAAGCTCAGCAGGTCTGGCAGCATCTGTGAAGAAAAAATCAGAGTTAAAGTTTCGGGTCCGGTGACCCTTCCTCAGAACTGAGGAGTTTAGGATATCTGGTTGGCACGGTCAAGTTGGGCTGAAGGGTCTATTTAAGTGCTGTATAACTCTATCACTCTATCCCCTTCCTCACTGAACACCTAGGCTAAAAGGTATAGCTTTTCCCTATACTTCTAAGAATGTTACCTTGTCTTTTTTGGTCCACAACAACCTCTCACAACCTAATTACTATTTAAGTGCTAGGAGAAAATTTGGAGTTCCTTTATTTTTATAAAAACTTTCCTTGGGAGGTGATATAACAAAGTCTGGAATGAGAGGGTGGTCCTATTACGAACAAGTTGCATTAATTGCACTTTTACACTCTGGAGATAAGAATCAGAGAGGTAATCACTTTTAAATATAATATATCTTATATATATACAAGATTCTGAAGTGGCTGTACAGACAAACAGATCTAAATCTTATGAAAAAAAGGCTGTGACATTTTCAGGGAGCTTAGAGTCATAGAGATGTACAGCATGGAGAGAGACCCTTCAGCCCAACTCATCCATGCCAACCAGATATCCTAAATAAATCTAATCCCACTTGCCAGCATTTGGCCCATATCCCTGTAAACCCTTCCTATTCATATACCCATCCAGATGCCTATTAGATGTTGTAATTGTACTAGCCTCCACCACTTCTTCTGGCAGCTCATTCCATACACGCACCATTCTCTGCATAAACAAGTTGCCTCTTAGATCCCTTTTAAACCTTTCCCCTCTCACCTTAAACCAATGCCCTATAGTTTTGGACTCACACCCTCAGGAAAAGACTGGTCTATTTACCCTATCCATGCCCCTCATGATTTTATAAACCTCTATAAAGTCACCCCTCATCCACCGATGCTCCAGGGAAAATTGCACCAGCCTATTCAGCCTCTCCCTATAGCTCAAACCCTCCAACGCTGGCAACATTCTTGTAAATCTTTTAAGAACCCTTTCAAATTTCACAATATCCTTCCCATATCAGGGAGACCAGAACTGAACACAGTACTTCAAAAGTGGCCTAACCAATGTCCTGTACAGCTGCAATATGACCTCCCAACTCCTCTACTCATTGCACTGACCAACAAAGGCAAGCATACCAAATGCCTTCTTCACAATCCTGTCTACCTGCAACTCCAATTTCAAGGAGCTGTGAACCTGCACTACAAGGTCTCTTTGTTCAGTAACTCTCCCCAGGACCTTAGCATTAAGTGTATAAGTCCTGCCCTGATTTGCCTTTTCAAAATACAGCAGCTCACATTTATCTAAATTAAACTCCATCTGCCATTCCTCGGCCCATTGGCCCATCTGATCAAGGTCCCCTTGAACTCTGAGGTAACCTTCTTTGCTGTCCACTATACCTCCAATTTTGGTATCATCTGCAAACTTACTAAACATACCTCCTATGCTCACATCCAAATCATTTATATAAATAATGAAAAACAGTGGACCCAGCACAGATCCTTGTGGCACACCACTTCATGGAGGGTTGCTCTCTATGAGCTCTGATAAAGTATTTTGTGCAATTCTCCACTGTTTACCTTGTTACATAAGCATCTCATCTTCATGTCACTGTTCACGTAACATCTTAAACTTGACATTGCTAGATATACTCACCACTGCTGGGATTTGGGATTACTGCCATGGGTGCCATACTTAAAGCCCAGCTAGAACCAAGTCAATTGCTGCCAGCTATGATTACTCATTAACATTACACAGAAGGACGGAAAATGAGAGAAAACCTTCAAGTGTCCATAGGTAGCTCTTAACTGCAAATAGAAACTCACATCCGTAAAATATTGTTACTTTACTACATCACCTGTCTGGTTGACTGCCATAGCAACTTCAGTGACAGGAATCAAACTACACAGGCTGCATGGCCTTAGAGTCATACCACATTTGAACTCTAACGGAGTAGTGTTCTTTCCCTAATGCCAAGAGTAAGGTTAATTTTGTTATTGTTCAAGAATGACCATGACTATGTGTCTGCCCTTTCCCCCAGCCTATTTATATCATCTTGAAGTCTTCCATTAGCCTCCACATAGCTCAATACTTCCAAGTTGTGCTTTCTGCAAATTTGTTTCAGATTTGACAGTAGCATGTTCATGCTGCCATTTTCATTTCATTCCATAGGCTTCAACTTTACTGGTAGGTTTAGCACTTTATCAAACACCTTTGAAAGTCCACATGTACAGCAATTGCATTGCCTTCAAATGCTTTTTTTGAAGGAACAATCCAGTTAACTAAACTGGATTAATCTTTAATTAGAAAATGCCTAAATAAAAATTTGTTAACCAGAAATGAATGGTTCAGGTGGCTGTTAATTGGGTCATGAATTATCATCTCTAAAACTTTCCATCGCCATGGTTAAACTGACTGGATTAGTGATTTGTGCATATTTCTTTTCTTTTTGCTGTTTGGAATAAGAATTTATCCATCTCAAATTTTCCAGACCTCTATCTGATGTATATATCTAATCAGTATCTAATGAAGATTAAGGTAATGGACAGTACCTCAATATCTATGGAGACATTGTTTAACTTAGCGTTTAACCAATCAATGTTTATGGATGATTGACTATAATTTACTATCATATTAAACTATCAAACACATTTTCTCAATACTTACTCAAAGAGTACCACCTGCAGAGCATTACCACATTGACCCCCATGCCAAACAGATTGTTTCTCACAGTTCGTAAATATATTTTCAATAAGAACTTTTTTTATTGGTATACAAATTTTTCATCACTTATATGAATGACATGGATGTGAACACAGGAGGTATGGTTAGTAAGTTTGCGGACGACACCAAAATTGGAGGTGTAGTGGACAGCAAAGAAGGTTACCTCAGAGCACAATGGGATCTGATCAGATGGGCCAATGGGCCAAGGAATGGCAGATGGAGTTTAATTCAGATAAATGTGAGGTGCTGTATTTTGGAAAGGCAAATCAGGGCAGGACTTATGCACTTAATGGTAAGGTCTTGGGGAGTGCTGCTGAACAAAGAGACTTTGGAATGCAGGTTCATAGTTTCTTGAAAGTGGAGTCACAGGTAGACAGGATATTGAAGAAGGCATTTGCTGTGCTTGCTTTATTGATTAGTGCATTGCGTATAGGAGTTGGGAGGTCAGTTGCAGCTGTAAAGGACATTGGTTGGGCCACTTTTGGAATGCAGTTCTGGTCTTCCTGCTATGAGGAAGGATGTTGTGAAACTGGAAAGGGTTCATAAAAGATTTACAAAAACGTTGCCAGCGTTGGAGGGTTTGAGCTATAGGGAAGGCTGAATAGGCTGGGGCTATTTTCCCTGGAGCATCGGAGGATGAGGGGTGACTTTATAGAGGTTTATAAAATCATGAGGGGCATGGATAGGGTAAATAGACCAGTGTTTTCCCTACGGTGGAGGATTTCAAAAATGGAGAGCACAGGTTTAAGGTGAGAGGGGAAAGATTTAAAAGGGTCCTAAGAGGCAACATTTTCACGCAGAGGGTGGTGCATGTATGGAATGAACTGCCAGAAGAAGTGGTGGAGGCTGGTACAATTACAACATTTAAAAGGCATCTGGATGGGTATATGAATAGGAAGGGTTTACAGGGATACGGGCCAAATGCTGGCAAATGGGACTAGAATTATTTAGGATATCTGGTTGGCCGAAGGGTCTGTTTCCGTGCTGTACATCTCTATGACTCTATGACTTAAATTCATCCACCAGGAAAGGAAAGTATAAACCTGACATTGCAGAAGTTGAGACTGGAACTGAGTCTGGTCTAACATTATCGTATAGTTACTATAGCCTAGAAGGTTATTTTGGTACCCACCACCAGAGACCGTCCAATAATAGAATGAATTCCTGTCAGATGGAAATGTTGCACCTCCATATCCAGCTTGGCCAAACCATCTTCATTCACTTCCACATTGCCCAGGTCCCCTGCATGTCTATTTGGATTGAAAAGTGTTTTGTTTTAAAAAATCATAGAATTTTATGTTACAAAGGAAGTCCATGCAGCCCACTGGCAATATAGATGCAATTAGAAAGAATGATTGGGTAAAGGGTCAATGGTGCTATATCAAACACACTTTTATGCAAATGTAACCCATTTCCTTAATTAAATTATATTTCCATCACAGTTTTTTCAAGGATATTACCTGTCCAAACAACACTCTCGGCAAAACAGACTCCTTACATTTCTTCGTTTCACTTTGTGATATTCTTAAATTTATGCCTTTGATATGGATTGCATACAAATATTGCTGCATGCATGAACAAGTTTAACAGATCCATGTTTCTGAAAATAAACCTACCTCGGGCTCTTCAATCCTTGTTGCCTATCACTCTACAGCCCTCACGTAGAAGAGGGATTGTGCATAGTGACAGATACAAGTTTGTTGGATAGCTTCAAAAAGATGCATGACAGAGGTAGGCTTAAAGCTTTCAGATCTGCCTCATTATGAAAAGATGTTGGCTTGCTCCTCTTGCAGACACAGCACCCCTCTGACAAAAGCATCTCAAAATATCACAATGCAGCGTAAAATGAGCAGAAACCTGACATTCTTGATCTACATATCCTTTTCTGTATCCAGAATTGAATATTTCATAGGAGGAGAAAGAAAAAGCTCCGACATTTTACAAAATACAAAGAATACATACATGTCAGAATTAAAAGCATCCAAAATCAGTATATCTTTATTAAAAACTGCATTGTCGTTTTATTTGAATATAACAACTGAAACAGAACTTACCTGTTGTTCTCTTCTGGTGCACCATGTATTTCATTATCTGGATTGTAGTGAGGTCCTGCACTAATCCAATCTAAAACAAATAATTACACTAAGTGCCTTTGCAAAACTAGCTTTTTACACCGGGAAAGGATAAGATGCAAGGGTCGTCAGCAATAAGTTTTTAAAAAGTAAGTGTTTTCCAAACAAAGTATTACTTTAAGCATTCAAATTTTGCATTAAATATTACACTCGACCAACCTTGATGCAAATTATCTCAAATACAAACTGAGCAGACACATACCCTCCTACTTATTCCTATTGTTTGCCCTATGACGGTGCAAGGATTTCACAGTCCACACCTTAGAAGACACAAGAGGTTTTGAGCTCACTACCAGAGGAAGAGCTCTTTCTTAATTAAAGGATCATCTTTTCTTTTAAGTACCAGAGCTTAAAGGCTAAAATCTACATCCCTTTGTGAGTAAGAAATCCTTCATGAATTTATTAACAAGTGCAGGAAACTTTCAAATACACATCATGAAGTCCTTACAGTCCTTCATGTCAGAATATAAAATGGTGGTCCCTAATTCTTAGATGGATGTTAAATACCTAAGAATTAAACATAAAAAGGCAAAGAGCTATTGTGAACTAATTAGTTAATTGTACACAAATATATAAAAGTGCTTGTAGTTCAAGTACCACCTGTCCCAAAGGTGTCTGAACAAGTTGATTAAAGATAATTGTGCAAATATATATGAAGGAGAATCATCTGGGAAGCTGATGAGTTTTGTCACCTGTGGTTGGTTGAAATAAAACTCCAACTAGAAAGTGTATGCAAGGGCTTTGCCTTACTAACAAAGAGTTAAATAAAGGAAGAGGGAATAGGATGGTTCTGAGGCATGGTCTTCCCGCTGAAGTTAAATGAGGGTCCGTTCAGTCATTGGACCCTCCTGGTGCCTCAAATGCATATAAATATAGTCTTGTATAAGTAAGAGATGCCTTTGGTTTGCTTGTTGGATACAGTCAAACTCCAATGTTTGAGAGATAGTAGGAACTGCAGATGCTGGAAAATCTGAGATAAGAAGGTGTAGAGCTAGATGAACACAGAAAGCTTTTCTGAAGAAGGGTCTAGGCCCGAAACGTCAGCCTTCCTGCTCCTCTGATGCTGCTTGGCCTGCTGTGTTCATCCAGCTCTACACCTTGTTATCTCCAATGTTTGCTTGTTTTCTTCATATGTCATTGTACAGAACTGAACTGTATTTGTGGCCATGTATATGTATCGATTATATATATGAATAAAAGATATCATTAAAATTAAAAATTGTCATTCACTCTTCAAGTATGTACTATATTCAACAAAGCTGGGCAAGTAAAGTTAATATATGAAACGTGCTGATAATATTTAATTGATTCCAGTTATGACTACTTTCTTTTATGTCAGCTGATATGAAGCAATGGAGCTCTGGTTGTATAAGTGACTGTGCTTTTGATTCTCAAGGTGGTGCAGACAAAAGTACTAAATTTTTATAGGCCTGCACCATGTTGTGCCCAATTCCATCAATGCACCTCTCTGAACTATGTTTCTCAAAAATCAAACAATTAAAGCCTCTTCTCCCATATGCTGGACAACAAAACACAGCAGGCATGACACATAATGAGGGCTCTAGTCTCTGATGTGGTATCATCAGACAACCTCCTATGATCAATGTTTTTGTTATTCAATGACAATTGGCTTAAATGTTGCATCAGCACCAGACATCTGTCAATTCCTAGTTCTGCAAAGATAAATTCCCATTGGGCAGTGCAATTAATACTATAACCAATTGTTAGAATTCTGTCGTGTTACATTGGTGAATAATGATTTTATTTTCTGGTGCTAATCACGCCACAGAAAAATTCAGCCCATCATTTCCAATTTGGAAACAAGAAAATTTTCTAATATAGTTAGTACTTAACTGGGATATAGGTCAAAAAAACAAAAGCATGAAGGATATTTTTCATTCTTGTCCAACAGCATAATTGTTGTTTCCATAATGAATCCTGAAACACCTACTCTTCGTTTCACATTTTCACAACATTGTCACCTTATGAAACAAAGTGGTATGAAGTGAACCACTTGGATGCTCTGCCATTTGCAAACCTTTTTTTGTTGTTGCCAGATATTTAAATTAGAGTGAGCAATCATGCAGTGATATTGTTGAGAGGAATAGATTCATCAAACCATTTGTTGTCCTATTAAGATCTTAAAATATCCAATAAAATTGTAATCTGTAGATTCCCTGTTGATTTGTCAAGGCTGTAAAGTTTTACACTGTATCTCCTGCCTGCAGTGTATTGGCAAGCAGTTTTCAGGATTTGTTACCTTGTCTATATTACTACATTCTAATGAAGAATAGACCCTCCACATTCATGTGTAACTAATTGTTTACTTCCTCTAAATTACACTGTCTTCTTTGAGCTATCTGATTTTTTTTTAAGTCTATATATCCATAATGTGCTTCCGATTTCTTTGGCTCTATACTTCTCTGCAATTTTTTAGCTACATTGTAAATGATTACATAAACTGTGATGTATAGGATGGACTGAAGGGCTAAACTTGTTGATGATACTCGACAACTGTATCACCTTGAATGAGTCCTGTGAACATTCCTGTACATGCCAAAGACGGCACAATCTGCCGTTTTTCTGTCGTTTTTTTTTCTGTGCCTTGTTGTTTGTTACACTGTATAATAGAGAGTTTTGTTCCAAGTCATTGGACTTCACCTTGGACTGCGATTGTGATCAGTGACAGGAACAACCTCAGCCTCCAGACCAGTCATCGATCAAAGGGACCCCGACAGGCAGAAGGGGGTGAAGCTTATTGTTTTTTCCCTCCCTTTTTCATTCTTTTTATTTACTTGATAAATGTTCCTTTCTTTTTTAATTTTTTATTATTACTCAATAAATGTTCATATTTAAGCAAATTCCTGTTTACAAGCCTTCTCTTAATTACATTTCACTTAATCCAAAAAGACCTGTTTGGATTCACTCTGTGATCCAAGACACCTAAGCATGATTTTAGAAATTTGCTAAATAGGCATTTGTACATTTCAGATCCTCCACTCTCTAAGACTGAATAAGTAATGCATACCTCTCTCCCTGAAGCTATTCCATACTTTTGCCATAAATCCATCTGGGTGTCAGACATGAGGAAGACATAGCCTTTAGCTCCAAGCCAAAAAGTCATCTTACATTAGGATTCTGTTGCTCCGAAGGCAAAACAACAGAAAAAAATGCCCTTCATGTTACTCATTGTTGTCTTGGAAGATCAGAATTAATACACTTCAAAATTCCCAGGCACTGATATAACTTGCACTTGAGGACATCCACTATCATTTGTTACTGGTTAGCCAAGCACCCGGTTGAGATGGATACAATACAACATTCTATTGGCATACTTTATTTATGATGATGACATCCATGATGTTTTATTCCATATGAGAAAGCAGAATTTACAAATGTGTGAAATAACTGAACAAATACATATCAAGCAAAAATGGAAAGAGTTTCTTCAGATTTCAGAAGATTTGAATGACTAGATGGGAAAAAAATATCAAAGTGCTTGAAATATATGACAGATAACTTAAGTCTTAAAGAAATTCTGACTTTGTCCTCACTGCCTGCGGGTTAAGATGTGAAATTATTATTTGCATTTATTCTGTTGCCCTGTTAGTGAAGATTACTCAACTATAATTGCACAAATGTTACAAGTATTTTTCACCATGTAATTATAATAGTAAATATTTGATTCATACCATTGGTTAAGTCACCAAAGCTGTGAATGTGAAGGCCATGCTTTCCAGGAGGCAGTCCAGTAAATTCTCCTTTTACAATCACACAGTCAGTTACCTGTAAAATCAAATTCCTCATTCAACAAATGATACTGGCTTTGGAAAGTCAATTTAATGAAAATTAATTTCTTCAATACAAAATGATAATTAACAAATGGATATATAAATGCCTTAATGTGGATGAGTGACATACACATTTGGCTGAAAACCACTTTTCTTGACCTTATACATTTGGCTGAATTTTTTCTGGCTATGTCAATTTTTGAAGAGCTTTATGGGTGGGGTTGCTTCCCCCCACGAGCACAACTGACTTTGTCATGAACATCATGGCATTTTTAATCCCAACTGTGCACTATATCAAACACAGTCAGTTTGATCTGAAATAACCAGCTGGGTCAGTGAAGTGTCCACTGGAATGGAGGAATGTGCAGCAATACAGCAATAAGGTTGAATTTCTGTCTGCCACAAGGTTAAGTACCATGATCGTCATTCTGCTATGTTACACTTACTCTAATTCTGCGAGAGTACCCACCTCCCAACACTGTTCATGGTTTATCACTCTAATTATTGCATGCAGCATCTTCCCTCAATGGTTCTCATTCAACCCATTTCCCTGCCAAACTATTAACCCTTTCTAACCTCTGCACTTCTTACTCACTCAGGGCACCTCACCACCTTTCCTAACTGATGACAGAACACACAGCTGATTGACAATAGTGATGTGATGGTATATTGGTGCTGAACATGATATGCTGTCTGTGTGCTGAAGCAAGGCAGAGATACTGTGTCTAAGTAAACACAAAGTGAGTGAGTGCTGGGAAAGGAAGCTAAGAACTCTGAGATGCACCCTGTTTCGATGCATGAGATGAGCATCTACCCTTCTGCACAAAGTGGCCTGGGATCAGTCTTGCAATGAAAGGTGTCTGTCACTTCCAACGTGCAGTATTTAAGTGCTGAATTGAGTGAGCCTCACATCTGTCAAGGTGTGGTGAAGCTGGTGTCTTGCCAATGTCAAAACTTTGCAGATGAATGGTGCAGGTGGTGTTGCCAATGGCATGTGCCCTGAGGCATTGAGGAGTTTGGGCTGGATGGAGGTCTGGAATAGATTCTGGTGAGCAGCATTGCCAGGTATCTACTTTATAACAAGGAGATCAAAATCGGAAACTAAACATTCAGGAGTGTGTGACTTATCCAAAGAACAAAAGGGAAGGGTGGTGAGTGACTTGTTTAGTATAAGATAAAATAGGTATAGCAGAAAATGGTCTTGGATCTGTTGACATAGAATCCATTCAGGTGGAGGTAAGAAATAACACGGGATGAAGACACTGATGCGAGTAATCTATGCCACCTAATAGGAACTGTTTTATAGGACAGCGAATAAATTATGGAACAATGAGGACATGTAAAAAAAGGCAGTAAACTAATCAAGGGTGACTTTAACCTTCAATCTTCTAGATTGGAAAAATGAATTGGCAAAGGTTGCCATGTAGAAGAATTCACTGGTTTATTTGATATAGTTCCTTGGAACAATATGTTGTCGATGATGCAGCCTAGGATCAGGCTTTTTTGGTGACAGATCCACTAGGGAACAGTGACCATAATGCAGTAGAATTTAGCATTCAGTTTCAGAGTGAGAGTGGGTCTGAAACAACTGTGCTAAACTTTAAGAGTAATTATATAGCGATGAAAGGTGAGGAGGCTGGAGTGGTCTGGAAAAGGAGTTTAACAGAAAAGACACTTGAGGAACAATGACAGATATTGCTGAATCATTACCTATTTTCATAAAAGAAATTCTTAATAAAAAGGATTCTACAAAGGGGATAAACCAACCATCCTTAACCAAGTAAGCTAAGGATAGTATCAAATTGAAAGAAAAATATACAATGTGGCAAAGATTAGTGCTAAAACAGAGGGTTGGAAAATTTTTAAAAACCAACTAAAAGATGAGCAAAAAATAATAAAAACTGAAAATAAACGATAAGGCAGGGAGATGGGAACCAAAGCAGGAAGTCAGAGGGAAGTAAAGTGGGAACAGAAACAAAAGACAGTAAGGGAAAAGTGAAAGTGGAAGGCAGAGAAACCAAAGACAAAAATCAAAAAGGGCCATATTAAACCATGATTCTAAAAGGGCAATAAATGTCAAAAAAAAAAAGCCTTAAGGCTCTGTGTCTCAATGCGAGGACCATTTGTAATAAGGTGGATGAATTAACTGTACAGACAGTTATTAATAGACATGATGTAATTGGGATCACAAAGACCTGGCTCCAGGGTTACCGAGGATAGGGACTCAATGTCCAGGAGTTATTCAATTTTCAGGCAAGATAGGTGGAAAGGGAAGAGAGGTGGGGTAGCGTTGCTGGTTAAGGAGGAGATTAATGCAACTGTCAGGGAGGACATCAACTTGGACAATGTGGAATCTGTATGGTTGGAGCTGCAGAACACCAAAGGGAAAAAGACGTTAGTGGGAGTAGTGTACAGACCACCAAACAGTAGTTGTGAGGTTGGGGATTGTATCAAAGAGGAGGTTAGAGATGTGTGCAATAAGGATACAGCAATTATTATGGGTGACTTTATACTACATATTGAATGGACAAATGAAACTGGTAGCAATGCGACAGAGGAGGATTTCCTGGAATGTATGAGGGATGGTTTCCTTGACCAACATGTCGAGGAATCAACTACAGAGCAAGCCATCCTAGACTGGGTATTGTGCAAAGAGAGAGGATTATTTGGCAACATTGTGGTGCAAGATCCTTTGGGGAAGAGTGACCATAATACGGTAGAATTCTTCAATAAGATGACACAATTAAATCTGAAATTAGGGTCCTCAACTTAAAGAAAGCTAACTTTGCTGGTATCAGGCACACATTGGCTAGGATAAGCTGGCCAAGGATATTAAAGAGGTTGACGGTAGATAGGAAATGGCAGACATTTAAAGAATACACGGATGAACTTCAACAATTGTACATCCCTATTTGGCACGAGAGTCAAACAGCGAAGGTGGCTCAACCATGGTTAACAAGGGAAATCAGGGATAGTGTTAAAGCCAAAAAGAAGGCAAACAAATTGGCCAGAAAAAGCAGCAAATCTGAGGATTAGGAGAAATTTAAAATTCAGCAGAGGAAGACAAAGGCTTTAATTCAGAAGGGGAAAATAGAATATGAAGGTAAGCTTATGGTAAACATAAAAACTGACTGCAAAAGCTTACATTGATATGTGAAGAAAAAAAGACTGGTGAAGACAAACGTAGGTCCCACGCGGTTAGAATCAAGTGAATTCATATTGGACAACGAAGAGATGACAGAGCAAATACCTTGGATCTGTCTTTACTAAGGAGGACACGTTATAAGACGGAGATTGACTCGCCTCCCACTCTGAGAATAAAACCTGAAACATCCAAAAAGGAGCACCTCGTCCTATAATCTGTAAAAAGGAGGTGAAAAGTGGTTTAACCTTACTTTCAGAGATAGTAGGAACTGCAGATGCTGGACAATCTGAGATAACAAGGTGTAGAACTGGATGAACACAGCAGGCCAAGCAGCATCAGAGGAGCAGGAAAGCTGACGTTTCTGAA